CAACATGCATTCCAACTATTGCCATGAAGTCTCCCATTATTTAGTGTTTCAATTTCCTACAAGCATCTTGATGTTATGGCTCATCCTGGTTATGTAACACGGTTACTATTTCTGCTTACATGACACTGTGAAATGTTGTAGCAGTTTGAAACTGTCAGCTCGTGATTACCAATGGCACTTTTAGCGGGGGGGGGGGGGGTTGTTGGATGAAATCATTCACCACAAATGTATTCTAAAATGGGGAACCGTTTATTTAGAGTTCGGTTGAATAAGGTTATGATGGGATAAAATAGGTTTGCTTTGGCATTATTAGTGTATAAAACTATTACTGGGTCACATAGGTAATAAGAAACAGAAACAAGTTGAAAATGTAGAAAAGAGATCAAAATTAAAATACTGGAAAAAAACTAAGGCAGATTATAGTGATCTCTGTGTTGAGAGTCTGAGGCAAGTGGGGTAGAATTTTCTGTACAAGATGATGTGCAGCCTTCTTCGTCACCCAGAATCGCGACAGAAATTCGCTCTGCCACTGCCTCGAAAGGATTCGTGCGGTTGACTACTATCCTTCTCGGTGCTCTATGCTACAGGCGATCCAAGTGCCGTAGGTCTTGGAGATGACGAAACATGATTATAAACAGTGAGTTAAGTTTCTATAGTAGATATGTTACACTAATCATTTTGTCACTGGTTATAACATTTATTAGATATTTCATGATGCAGATGTTTAAATATATTAGTGCATGATGATTTTCGCCCCCAAAAATAGAACCTTCAGTTTGATAACAGGGCGTTCTCATGAAATAACATATAGCAATCTTCTAATAGATAATCTGTAAACTTTCAAATTCTGGTTAGAAAAATGTAATGCATTATACAGTATATTTTGAATAACAGATGGTGCTGAATTAATAAATGAATAATTTAAAATTTTAAATAGTTAAAATGAATAATAAGTTACGAAAATCAATAGTTAAAGGAACAATGAACGTAAAACTAAACAAATATTAAAAAATATGCTATAGGTATAGGATAATGGGTAAAAAAACAGTAAACACTAAAACAGGCGGTAAGCGTAGCACAGGCGGTAGGCGTAACGAAATCTTTGTAATCGGAATGTGAATATGGGCTGATTAAAATAATAAAATTTCAACACGTACGATACTTCGCTTTGGTAAAAAATCCCCACTGCTGACAACAAATTGCAGTGAATTGCCCGGAGCTGTTCACTAGGGGTGAGCCCACTGTGAGCCCAGGTTGGCTGGAAATCCTGTATTTCGTATTTCCGAGGATTACATTAATAATCACTAAGTTACTCTGAACTGTTTATTTATTGTAGCTTCGAGGAATCATTTAAAAATATAAAATGATCACAAGCACTAAAATGTGGTATAAAATCACAAGAATATAGATACATGAATATATATATATATATATATATATATATATATATATATATATATATATATATATATATATATGAGGCACAAGCACAAAACACAGGCCCAGCCACCTCTGGGTGTCGGCGTGAACCGACAAGCGATCGGGAAACAACCAGGAAACATGGCACTTTACATGGTGGTTAAATGTAATTAAATTATTCTGCTCCTGGCAAGATGCATTTTAGTTAAAGATATAGTATTCAAAAGGTGTACCTCGGGGTACACTCCACATGAATATAGTGGATTTCTAGGAATACGACTTGATATATGCGTGATTTTTTTGTATTTTGTATGTTGTACATACAGGTGAATATGCACAGGTTTATGAATATCTTCAGTTGGAGTGTATATAATCTGGATGTGTGTGGTTACAAATGGATATCTTTTGATTCTTCGTAAAGGTCTGTATAAAGTTACCCAATAGCAGCCACATGCTGTTCTACGTTGAAGAGATCTCTCAGTCAGTTTCTTTTTAATTATGAGAAGCCCCCGACACTGGGTTGAGGCTAGTGATAGGCACAGACTGGTTCTGGGTCCAGTGATGAATGGTTATAACGTGGTAACGTGGATGTGAAAGTGCTTGGTGCTTGTGTAGGGGCCTGCGGGAGAGTGGCAATCCTGAAAGGGGAACCTGAAAGGCCCCTCTGGAGACTGAGGAGACACGCAGAAGAGTGTTTGTGATGGTCATGATTTAGGTCGAAGTCACTGGTGAAAGGGGCGTGGCCAGTTAGACAGACTCACCCGAAGGGTGGTGATGCTACAAGCATGTCACCCATAACTGACCATTAGTAGTCTGCTTACGGCAAGCTGGTGAGCCTCCGGGCTAGTACAGTAGTAACGTGTCGGCCTCTCATCAGAGGGGTCGGCAGTTCGCGCCCCGCCCAGACGCGAGAAGTTGCAATTGTAGTCTGGAAATTGCTGCTGTGGCTGGGTACCAAGGCTGCTAAGGACTAAGCTCAGTCGAGTCAGCACTAGCTGACACACGTTGGTGAGTCGGCATTGGTCGACCCAGGCTGGGCTCCCCCATGGTCATAAATAAACTAGTTTAGTTAGTAATAGCG